AGTGTGGTACCCATGCCATCGACAGCCGGGGGAGAAGTCTTGATGAGCTACAACAGGGAGATTCACATCGCAGGGGGCGTTGTACCATGGGCCCTGCGAAGCGAAATGTACGATGAGTTGGATCGTCCTGGCGATGAACGATGAGACAGCTATGCTGTCGTTTTCCCAGGAGGCAGGGCGGATAGTTTTTGATTCGGCGGTGGCGGGAGCGACTTCGGTTCAAGAACGTAGGAAAGTTTTAAGCGATTTGAGATGAAGGAGAACAACGAAGCTGCAGTCTAAGTAGTTGGAGTCCGCTCCCTGGGGCTTCAGTTGGACAATGCCCGATACCTTCAGGTTGAGGGCATCGGAGTCGGTGGTGGTTTGAGCTGAAGTGTTGGCCATAGCGATGATCCTTCAGAAACAATGCAACGGGGTGTCGTCGACTAGCCTAAGTGAGGAAACAAGTCGAAGAAAGAGAGACAAGAAAAAAAAAAATAGAGAATTGCGATGAAGGAGTAAGAGCGAGCTGATTAAGCGCAAAGGGGCCTCATAACCTGTAAAAATAGACACCCTGGAGACAATGCAGTTGGAAAGGATAAGTCATTTCACTGAGAGAAAGAGAAAAGAGAAAAAGAAGAAAGACTAACCTGGAGACAATGCAGTTGGAAAGGATGAAGAAAAAGAGATCCTTTCCAACTCAGTTGTCCCCAGTATAAGAGAGAAATGAAAACAAGATGAATGTCACAAAGTGTGACATGTGAGAAATGAAAAAGAGGAAGAAGCACGAAACAGTAGCACTATGTAAAGTACACTACATAGATAGCTCAACACCCCCCCTTGCTGATGACGAGTTATAATGAGAACAGAAAAGTAGAGAAGGAGATAAGCAGAAGAGATAGAAAAAAAAATTAAACTAATCCAAACATGAGACGATGTTTTTCCAAGAGAACTCGAGAAAGAGGCTTGGTGAGCATGTCGGCCAACATGTCGTGTGTTGATACATGAACAATTTGAAAAATGTCGTCCTTAACACAGTCCCGAACGAAATGATACCGAGCGTCAATGTGCTTGGTGCGAGAGTGGTGTTCAGGATTGTTGGCCAGAGCCTCTGCCCCTTCATTGTCAACATGTAGAGGAAGCGCTGAACGAGGACGAATGGACAGTTCAGTGAGAATGTTTTGCAACCATAAGCCTTCCTTGCAGGAATCAGCCAGAGCTTTGTACTCTGCCTCAGTGCTTGAAAGAGAGACTGTAGCTTGCTTGCGGGATTTCCACGAAATAGCACCATCACCAAAGCGGTATGTGTATGCTGAAGTCGACCTCCTGTCTTGACAATCTTCAGCCCAGTCCGCATCAGAGTAGCCGGCGCAGGTGAGTGGACCACCTAGTCGTAAGCGTAACGCTTTTGTGGATGCCAGATAGTGCAGAATCCGTACAGCAGCAGACCAGTGTCCAGCAGAAGGATCACGGAGAAATTGAGAAAGCTTGTTCACGGCAAAAGCTACATCAGGACGCGTACACTGAGCAATCCACAGAAGAGAACCAATAAGCTGTGAGTAGAGACCGGGAGAGCTGTCTTCACCAGGACCATGTTTAAGGAGATCTTTGAAAGTTGAAGAAGTGGGTGTCTTGGTCGATATGTGTTCACCGTCCAGAAAGCGGGATATCATGTCTTCAATATAGTGGGATTGAGACATATAGAGTAGACGATTGTCCAAGTCACAAGAGATTTTGATTGAAAGAAAGTGATGGAGATCTTCATCGGCGCCAATCTTGAATTTGTCGCCTAGTTTGGAGATGATAGAGTCAACAAAGAGAGGTTCCCCGACAACCGCCAAGTCATCGACATGAACAGTTAATGCACCCAATAGTTTCCCATCAAGAACTTTGAAATACAGTGTGGGATCGTATTTGGATTGAGATAAGCCGGAGTCGAGGAGAGCTAAATGAAGTTCTTGGTTCCATTGACGTGGGGCTTGTTTGAGACCGTAGATTGAGCGACAAACTTCACAGACAAAGTCAGGATGAGCAGGATCTTCAAAACCTGGAGGTTGCTCCATGAAGATTGGCTGATCGAGATGGCCGTTTAGAAAAGCCGTCTTGAAGTCCACTTGCCAACCCTTCCAGTTTTTGGAAGCCAGGAGGCTGCAGATGAGTCGGAGGGTTTCGAGGCGCAGAGTGGGGGCAAAGACTTCCTGATAATCCACTCCTCGAACTTGAGAGTAACCCATAGCAACCAGCCGGGCTTTCAATTTAAGGATAGATTTATCGGGACGTCGTTTCACTTTGAAGACCCACTTCGATTTGATGATTCTACGTTTTGACGGCCTGGGGACCAGTTTCCATGTATCCATGCCAAGCAGAGAGGAGAATTCTTCATCGGCGGCACGGAGCCATTTTGCTTTGTTTGGAGACTTTTGAAGTTGACGCCACGTTTTGGGGGTATCTACATCGTCGGAGGGAACAGCAGAAGACTTTGCCCAATTTCTGTAACGCTCCGGAGCTTTCCGAGCACGCCCAGAGGTCCTGCCAGGCGGTGGTGGAGGAGGCAGAATAGGAAGAGGTATTGACGACGTGACTGGCGGAGTAGGGGGGCGCGAGACAGGAAGAGGAATTGATGCTGGTGGTGGTACAGCCTGTGGTTCAGGAAGATCAGCAGGAGGAAGAGGCGTAGGAGCAATCGAGGCGGGCAAAGTGAGAGAAGGGACACCGTCCAAGAGAGACAAAGCTGGAGGGCGCAGAAAAGGAGAAGGAAGTGGAATTGGTGAAGGGAGACCAGATGACTTACCGCCATCTTCAGAATCACTGGTGATTGGAGAGACGGGGATGGGTGGCACCGGGTCGCGGAGTTGCCTAAAAGTCTGAGGGAGATCAACACGCAGGTGAGACGGGGGAGCCGGTGAAGGCGCCGGCTGAGAGGGTGCAGAAGATGGGAGAGCAGCTGTGGTTGTTGGTAATCCGACAGGCAAAGTAGTGACAGAGGTTGGCCAAGGGAGGTCAACATATATAGTTGGAGCTGGACCGGTAATTTGATGATCATAAGGGAAAGTTCCATCGTTGAAGATAGTATCCCGAGTTTTGATTGCCTTTTTCGTCTGAAGGTCCCAAACTCGGTGGCCATTGCCATCATCAAGGTAAGAGAGAAAAATGGCAGCGTGAGCCCTTGGATCAAGTTTCTTTTGGGTTACATCTGGTACCTTATGCCAGACCAGACAACCAAATGGATGAAGTGAGTTGAAATCGACGATAGGACGACCCAGGATGGAGTTCGGAGAGTGAAACCCTAATGGGGTATAGCAGGGAATGGAATTGAAAGCGTGGAAGATGTGACGCATAGCATCCGCCCAGAAAACCTTAGGAAGTTTGGCATTGAGGAGGGAACAACGGATGAGGTTAGCCACTGTACGATTGGTACGTTCAGCAACACCGTTGAGGGATGGGGAATGAGGAGGGCCGGGCTCATGGTGGATACCGGAGGCGAGAAGAAAAGAATCAAAGGCCTTAGACACGTATTCCCCACCGTTGTCCGAACGAAGTTTGAGGATTGGAAATCTTCCGTCCTTTTCGAAGAAAGTCTTGAAAATCTTGAAACAGGGTAGAACATCTGATTTGAATTTCATCGGGAAAATGGAAACAAACTTTGAACAATCATCTATGAAAGTGACAAAGTACTTGTATTGTTCGCGGGAGGCGACCTCAAAAGAACCAACATCTGAATGGATAAGATGACCGGGAGACTGAGAGCGATAAGAAAGGCGAGAAGTGAAAGGGAGACGATGCATTTTAGACTGCACACAAATAGGACATTGGGTTACCTCAATATCATTGGCCAACGTCGGAACGATTCCAGCTTGATGAAGGAGACGCTTGAGGGGTTTCAGGCCTATGTGAGAGAGTTGGACGTGATAATCCAAGAGTGAGCTGCCGTGAGAGGGAGACGGAACTGAAATGGCGGAGGAGGATCTTACCTCATTGGAGGGAAGATAGAAAAGATTACCCTTGCGATAGCCACGACCAACGATCGGACCGGTGACGGAAAAGGAATTTGCCTCATAAATGTTGCAGGAATCGCTAGAGAAGACGGCAATGAGGTTCTTGTCGCACAAGCCAGCGACGGAAAGCAGAGGCTCATGAAGGCCTGGAACCACAAGAGTTGGGACGTGTTTATCGACCGAGAGTGGCAGAGATTGAGAACCACGGAAGGTGGCAAAGACCTCAGAGCGATCAGCTAGACGGACTGAGGTTGAGTCCGGCTTAAGGCGGTCGACGGTGGATTTGTGAGGCGTCATAGAGATAGAACAACCTGAATCGATGTTGGCATCAACACTGCTGGAATACTCAGTGTGGTGAGTACCCACAACGGCGTTCCGGGCGCGTTCAGGAACCGAAAAGTCAGATTGGTCATCGTAGGAATCGTAGCCGAGTTCCACTACAGTAGTCTGACCAGCAGTCGCAGACGGTTTAGAAGATAGGTTAGCGCGAGAGGAGGAGCGATCGTTGCCTGTGTGGCGTCTATTGTCGCGGGGGACATCGTGGCGACGAGACCCTCCTCCACTGTTGGAGGACCGATTGGATTTGTGCTCGGAGAGCACTCGTGAAGCGTTCTCGCATATGGCGAGGTCATGGCCGGATCGGTTGCAGAAGGTGCAATGGAGCGCTTCGTTGAAGCGAGGCTTGGCCTTAGCAAGATCCGCGCGAGCCTTAGAGGCAGAGACGGTGATATTGTCCTCGCGACAAGCCTTGCGCCAAAGGGACTCGGCCTTGAGTGCCGAGACGATACGCGACGAGGTGACCGAATCCTCGTTCATCAACGATGACACACAGGGTAGCCAATCGTCGGTCAAGGAGGTGAGGAGAGCCGTTGCATGGATGTCATCGACCATGAGCGGCTTCTCGGGGGTAACTAAAGAGCCGAGGCGCTCAGCACAAACGGCCATCGATTTGATGTGGGAGTCAATGTCCTCGCCGGAGAGACGAGCGACGACTAGTTGTCGTAGCCAGTGCATACGACCGCCGGAGGAAAAGTCTTGATGGGCTTGCGACAGGGAGATCCACATCGCCGCGGCGTTGGTACCATGGGCCCTGACGAAGCGAAGGTTCGATGGGTGGATCGTCCTGGCGATGAACGATGAGACAGCTATGCTGTCGTTTTCCCAGGAGGCAGGGCGGGTGGTTTTTGATTCGGCGGTGGCGGGAGCGACTTCGGGTTCAAGAACGTAGGAAAGTTTAAGCGATTTGAGATGAAGGAGAACAACGAAGCTCCAGTCTAAGTAGTTGGAGTCCGCTCCCTGGGGCTTCAGTTGGACAATGCCCGATACCTTCAGGTTGAGGGCATCGGAGTCGGTGGTGGTTTGGGCTGTAGTGTTGGCCATAGCGATGATCCTTCAGAAACAATGCAACGGGGTGTCGTCGACTAGCCTAAGTGAGGAAACAAGTCGAAGAAAGAGAGACGCGAGTCGAAAGGTAGAGAATTGCGATGAACGAGTAAGAGCGAGCTGATTAAGCGCAAAGGGGCCTCATAACCTGTTGAAATAGACACCCTGGAGACAATGCAGTTGGAAAGGATAAGTCATTTCACTGAGAGAAAGAGAAAAGAGAAAAAGAAGAAAGACTAACCTGGAGACAATGCAGTTGGAAAGGATGAAGAAAAAGAGATCCTTTCCAACTCAGTTGTCCCCAGTATAAGAGAGAAATGAAAACAAGATGAATGTCACAAAGTGTGACATGTGAGAAATGAAAAAGAGGAAGAAGCACAAAACAGTAGCACTATGTAAAGTACACTACATAGATAGCTCAACAATTTCTTTTTATATATTTTTTCCCTAAGTAATTCCGTGGAGTAACTTAGTATCTTCCTCTGTATTAATATTCCTTTATTACAGAGATGCTAACTTATGTACATAAAGTCTATTCATCTCTCTCTCTAAGTATATTCTGTAATTAGAGAGATTACTACACTTTGGGAATTGATTAATTTATTCCTCTCTGTATGGATTCACCCATAGAGAGAAATGATGTCATTCCCTCCACTTTTGATGTAATCATAAATTAAATACATATTCTGATCATTTATGATTTAAACACATAAAATGATCATCTGTGGACCTGTCCGGTCCAACAGGCAGTTTGAACCCAGCCTTGCAATACTTAACTCTAGGATTCTTCCCCCCAGAGATTATTTGCCATACAAACCCATTTTCCTTACTTAACCAAAGTGAGTGGGGTTTTTTATAATCTATTACAACCCTTTACCTCTATCCACCTACCAACGCTACCACAGATATGATACACTGTATGTATCATGGAGAATTCTGCAAAGCTGCATGGCCAAAAACCAAATTTGTTGAATCTCCTTGCAAATAAAAGCAGATTGGTCAGATAGTTTTTTTTATTGGGGCTCAGATACATAGTGATACATGGCAGATACGGGCAGATACCGTATCTGTGGCAGCGTTGCACCTACCTACCAATATCTTCCCTCCCCCCTAGACTACAGTAAAGTCACTACTGTAGCCTAGAAGAGAGTTATACATACTCTGAGCTTGGCACCGCAAAGCTCATCCCGCGTGTCCCCTCTAACCCAGGGAGCTAACCCCTCCGCTTACTAGCGTTGAGGTGTGGTTCTTTTCCACTGACTGCCTCTGCAGTTATAGTGCAACCCTATCAAAACCCTATCAATGCCAGGTAACTCTAGAGACCGGCGCTGACAGTGTGGGGCGGGGGGAGGAGGAGCACGATGCTATGGAGGGAGGTACTGAACAGCCACTTTGGCCAAAAAAAAAACATGGGGGAATGTGGTTATCATTCCTCATGCACAAGGCTTTTGGTGAACAATATGAGGAATATTGCTGATCAGGCCTGAAAACATGGGAATGATTTGTATTTGTAAGAGAAGGGTGGTTGGAGTTGTACTTAAAAGGAGGGGATAATTTGATTGGATGTGTTGATGAGAAATAGATGAATATTCAGTAAATCAATCAGGCAATGTTTCTTAGGGTTGAAAAGTACAGTAGATCAGCACTAACTAGATCACTCATTCAAGTACTCATCCCTGGATGTTGGATCAAAAATCTTACATGATTGAGATTCATAAAAATATCAATCAGGGGAAGGGGGTATCAAATATAACCAAATTCACCACCATTTTTTTTAAACATGTTGGTTCTTTACCCAACCCCTTTGGGGACCCATTTATTCAAAAAAATATATTTTTGGAAAAGTGACTGGTTTGTAATGCTGGATTTCTTATATTTGATACCTCCCAATGAGAACAAATTGAAGCAGGAATCACAGTATTTAAATAAGAAATACTCTTTCCAAAACAGAATCAAATCAATCAAATGGTTTATCATATATATAAATTACCCTCTTAACTATTAAGATTAAACAAAGAAGATTTTGGTTTTGGATTGGCATACAGCCAATCATTTTCAAATACTATTCTAATCTATCTCTCCAAAGCCCGGATAAAAATTATTTTTTAGATGATGAACTTTCACTATATTCTTTTGTCAAACGCCGGATTTCATCCCTCTCTGCATTAAAATCTCTATGCCATTGTATAATTTTTTCCTCAAGTTCTTCATCATCAGCATCATCCAATTCTTTAATTTTGGCCTCTTCTTTCTTCTCAAGCATGTTAACTCTTTTCACTTTTTTTTCAACAAAGAAATTAGTCAGCAATTTTGATCCAGAATTTTTGATATGATTTCTCTATCAATCGTTTTGATGAATTAAAACTGTTGAAGAAAACAGCTCACACAACTCCTGATATCTCTCTTTGTAATTTTCCAAATTTTGTTTGAGGAACCAAGAAGGAGATTTCCATTTATTCATGGTTAGTTTTCAGCATCAAAGGATTTTGCTTTCTTTGATAGAAATGAAAAAAAAAAAAAATGAATTGGAACAGAAATCCTCCAAAATGTAACAGTAGACATACCCAATTTGGACTTTCCTTCCATTCTCTTGTGGAGAAAGTGATGTTGAGCACCCAAAGCAAATTCTTGATCAAGACCACTGCTCTCTATTCTTTTTGGATATAAATTTGGATGTGCTGAAGTTCCATAGCAATTGAGCAGATAGAAGGACAATAAGATACTTGTAAATCACATGGCTGGGGTTGGCTCGCACTGATGATCAGTTTTTTGGATTGAGATCAACAGATTTATATTCAGGGAGGATGTGGATGGTTGGAGAACTCCAGAAAGGTAATGAGAATTTATAATTTTTGTTGCAAAACTTGATCAAAAGCATGGGAAGGCTGTTGCTTGCTTCTTCATAAAACAATTTTGATTCTTGTCTCAAGAATTGAACCTTAGATAAGCTGCATCTAATTTAGTCTGAAAAACATTCAGAAAAGAAACTCTGTCACACATCTTCAGCTGGTTTCATTTGCAACCCCACATGTAACAAATTTTATTCCCAAATCCTTGAAGATAAAATCATACAAATCTAAAACATCTCCAATCCCCTGTTGATTTTTTTTGATCGGTCAATGTCTTTCAAACTTTAAGTTGAAACCTGATTCTGAAGAAAAATATACCAATCCTCAAAATCATGTTCCAGAAAGCTCACTCAGTTGCAGGTGTGGTTTGGTGGAGCAGCTATGATAATGAAAAATGATGGTTTCAATGCGGACATAATTCAAACATAACAATTCAGGAAGTACAAGCAATTGAAAATCATAATTATGAATTCAACTTTGAACAAGAAACTTCAGAGTAAAAGGCCCACAATAATTTTGAGTCAATTCATGTCAAAGGCCTCATGGGGAAATCCAAGGGTTTTCACATCATTGTTTCAACTTTGCTAGAACTTTTGTTTTTCCAATACAAGCAGTAGCCACAGTTCAAGGGTGATGATAAGGTTTTGTTTGATGTTTACAAGGAGATTATTTCTGCCATGCTGGAAAATGGTTAGTTAGCCACAGCCACAATTTGATGAAGCATTTCTGATAGGAAAGATTTTGATTCAAGTAAAGTGAAGTTTTTGATTTAGTAGGGGGTATCAAATGTAACCAAATCCACCATTATTTAAATGACTGGTTTGAAAAAATCCATCCTTTTTTAAACATGTTGGTTCTTCATTAAACTCTTTTGGGGCCCATTGATGCAGAAATGGTTTTGGGGAAAAATGACCAGTTTATAATAGTGGATTTCCTGATACCCCCAAGTATGAAGCATCAATATTTGTGCAATTCCTTTCTTGAAACAAGCAGTGAACACAAGTCAAACCTGATAGTGAGGTTTTATTTGATCTTAGTTGAGGTATTAGTGATGCCATTAGGAATGATTTTGATTCAATTACAAGTAATTTTTTTATTTGGTACAAAGCTCCCACACTTGTATGTGTCAACTTAACTTTGTGATAGCCTTTATATGCATAGGGCATACACAGTAAATGGACTTTTTCTTCACATTGGTAAGGAATTTGAGATACTCACCAAGATAGAGAGTATGGCAACGAGGCTCTTTCTATTAAATTGAAAACAAGTCACAGGTCATGTATGTCAGTGTTTCTGCCAAGAAAATTACCTTTCCCCAGATGTGAGCAGTACCCACACAAGGTCAAATATAAATATGGTGGCTGTGATTAGAAACTTTGTTTCAGTTTGGTTGGCAATTATACTATATATCTGCCATGTTGGAAAAATACTTCCTCAGTAGCAACAGTGAAGCAGAGACAATACAATACATCTGATACTCCAAATCATTTGTATTGTGTATCATATCTAAAATCAGATATGATAAAATTGTATTGTATCAAAAAACCACTACACATTTTTTGGCCAATTTGGACTGTTTTCAACAAAAGATTTGGAAGATACAAAAAGATACAGTATTTTATTTTCTTTGTAATGGGCTGTATTTCTGACCAGATACAAGAATTTTGATACATTTGTATAGCATCTGTTGTTGATACAATACAAATAAAATGCATTTGGAAAAAATTTGTGTTGGTTTCACTGTTTTGATCAGTAGGGAGGGGGGGGGGAGGGGTGCTTTGGCAGAATTCATTTCCTAAAAAAAAATCAATCACCAATTAATAGTTCTGAATTTCACTCCACTTATCAGTAGTATCTAGATATTTCCCATGGAATATTGGATTTCCATGGAGGCAACTTACTACAATTGCCTCACAATTATTGTTTTGGCTAGAAGCAATTGTTTGATAAAGGGGGTTCCCTAATTAAAGAATTCAGGGGGTATCAAATATAAGAAATCCACGATTGGGAATCAGTCAGTTTTCCAAAAATAAAAGTTTGCATAAATGAGCCCCCAAAGGGGTTAAGCGCAGAACCAAAATGTTTAAAAATGATTAATTTCTCCAAAAAGTCAATCACAAATGGCAGATTTGGTTGTATATGATACCCATTAGTAGTATGTTAATTTATGAAATTATGGATATAGTTTTCAAAAAACTTCCCTTTGTGCCAATCCAAAAAAAAAAAAATGAAAAAATAGGGGGCTGGGAAAATGAATCCCAGATTTTAGGAGACCTACCCCCAAGAGTTTGAAGATATCAAGAGGACTGGATCTTGACCATCAAAAGCAAATCCTGGTATTTGGCCTCCCAATTAAACCAGGAGAGATGGAATTCTTGGAAAAAAGTAATCCCTCTTTCCAAGTTTATGGACTAATTTCCCTCACACCATGCAGGTGCATAATCAATCTTCTTGGCAAGAAAATGTTCCTCTGACTGGGCAGGTTGAAAAATTGCTCAGCAGGAGGGATTTCCTCTGTTTGAGCAGGTATATGAGCTGTCTGGCCATAGGAAATTCATTTTTTTATCAGAAGGTTACAAACCTGCTTGGCAATAGGAAATTTTCCTTGCCCAATAGGTTATGAACCTGCTCCACAAGAGGAAAGTTGTGTTTCCAGGCAGTTTATGGACTAGAGATGGCCCCATGGCATCCAGATATCCGGTTGCTTTTTCAGTGGAATCAGACATCCACATACACTGGTGGGTATCCCTCAGCCTTAGTGGGTATCCAAGCGGGTATCCACAGATATCTGCCCCTTAAATAGTTGACAAGGTACATGTACCTTGCTGGCTGGAAGGGTTTACTTCCAGCCGACAAGGTACATGTACCTTGCCGGCTGGAAGCCAGTGGAAGGAAAACCTTCCGGTTGATGAGGTACATGTACGCCTCGCCGACTGGAAGGGTTTCCTTCCAGTTGACAAGGTTGTGCATTGTTGGCCTTGAGAATCTACTCAAGGCCGAGAGGGATTCCTCTTGGCCTTGTGTACATGGTCTTGGTCTTGGGTATCCCTTTGGCCTTGTGTTCAAGGTCTTGGCCTCAGGTATCCCTGGATATACCCAGATATCCTCCAGGATTTCAAGGAGACACAGACATCCACATCCTCTGGCGGGTATCCGCCAGCAGATACTGGATAGCAGGTATCCGCAATGGATAACACAGCACCATCTCTATTATGCACTTGCTCCACAAATTTAGGAAATCCCTCCTTCCAAGTAGGTTCATAGCCTTCCCAGAAAGAGAAAATCACTCTTTCAAAGTTGGTACATAACTTTTCTGGAAATAGAAAAGCCTTATTTACAAGTAGTTTATGGACCTGGCAAATCCCATCCATCCCTGGCAAATTAGTAGACCAAATCCCAGTTTGAGAGCCAGTTGTCTTCTTTTCTACCAACTTTGGGGATCCATTCTCCCAGAATTTACAGGGAGTTGTTTTTTCAACCCCCCATGGATTTTTCTTCTATAAAATATTTTCAGAGAACCTAATGAAGTTTCTGAGAATTTTTCCATCTATTTTTTCTTTTTGTATTTGAGCACAAGAGCTGCCAAAATATTTTTAATTCTCTTCCAGTTTCTCACTGACCTGTCAAAATCTGCTGGTCCCCCAGTTTTGATTTAGAGCCTTGAAATCTAGATTACCTTGCAAAAATCTAGACTTTATGGGTCTTAATCAAAACCTGGGAGGGCTTCAGATCCAGCAGGAAGTTGTCTGATCTCTTGAAAAGCAAGCTTTAGGTCATTGGAATGAGTATCTGATGCAAGTTGTTCATTTTTTGGCAGATTTCTTCAATCTACCCACTTGAACATTTGATCTATGATTACTGCAAGTTTTATATTTGTGATTCATCAATTGAATTTCACTCAAGTACTGCAGGTGAACTGATTTTTTGGTGCAGGTTTTAGCGCAGGCTACAGAATGAATTTCTTCTGTAGTTGCAAACAAAAGCCACAGCTTGTGTCAGGCCTATGTGCCAACTTGTGTTCTGAACAAACCCAAACCAACCCAAATGCAGGTTGTGATGTTGCGCAAACAGACTCAACCCAGTCAAAATGGGGTGGGGCAGGTAGGCAATTTTCAGACCTGAACTGTAGAAGTGCATGCCAAATTGATATGTTTTACCTGCACACACCACATAAAACCTATTTATACATCAATCATTTGATTAATTATACCTATAAACACAAAAAACTATGAAGAAAAACATGTGGGAGTGTTTATAGTCTCACAAAAAAAAGAAGAGTTGGTGCCAATTAATATAATTTTGCATGCTCCTTCAGGTCATCTAGTGGTACTAGCCTTTGAGCACGTAAGCATTGCTGATACATTAACTCGTTTTTTAAAAAAATGTGTGCATAGAAGGATTTTGTTGAACTAATTGTTCATCGGCGCTTAGTAATATTTGAGATGTACTATAATGGAGCGGGATACAAATTTGACTGAACGAAACATTGCTTAGTAAGGTGTGACTTGGTTCAATGGTAAAGAAGACTTGAGTGCGCTGGAATTCGAGAGGATGCTTTGAAGCAACCGAGTAGGTAATTTGAAAGCGATATAGGACTTGAGAGGAATTCACATGGAAAGAATTGATTAAAAAAAGCTCTGAGGGCTCTGTTAGCTTAGATCACGTTGATGAGTTATCTGATTAGGTATCTCCGGTCCTATTGGGATTGGTTTATGAGGGCGTCGGGTGTTGTTGAATGGTTGAA